TTCTGGTCAATTGCTACAAAGAAGGATTTGATTAGTCTCGTGTGAATGTAACTGGATTATTACGCCGACTTCAGGTTAAAATCGAAAATATTTATCTCTTCAAAACACTAATAAAAAAAACATGGAAACGTCTTTAAAAGCTGGCTTTGCCCAAATTTTCTGTTGCTGCCCAAAAAATCCGAGTTGCCCAAAATTTGGGGGGGCTACAGCCCCCCTTGCCCCCCCAGCCCGTACGCCTATGGATCACGGGATGCATCTAACGTGATATTGTGAATTGCAAAAATCGAGCCATGTGAATTAATCATTGAAATAAAATTCCAGACGGGTATGTTACTAGGGGAATTTGTGAATACATGCAATCGGATGCGTTCCTATGGTGGTGCAGGTACGTAACTTTGGAATAATACCCAGTCAGGATTTGGGCGTCGATAAAACCAGGAACATGGAACATCCCGGAACATGAAAAAATAAAAATAATTTTCATGAAAAAAAAATACAATAAAATAATAATAATAAAATAATTTTTGTAAAAATTAATAAGAACATAAAATAACAAAAAAAAAAAAAGGAAAATAATGAAATAATCAAGAAAAAGAAACTGGTATCCTCTCTGAGCATGAGAAAACAATATTTTGTCGCAACAAATTAAAATTTGTTGGGCGAGTGAGGGTTCATGCAAATGACAGTAATGAGAGAAGGCTTGCTTCTAAATTCAAAATATATTAAAATGGGTTGCGAGGAGGGGGTTTTCAAGCTTTCCTCACACAACCACCTCTTGTAATTGTTTGCCACGAGTTAATCATTTGGCGGTTATCCATTTACGGTTCTGCGATGGTCTGAAATGTCGGTGCAGTATTTCATGTCAAGCCAAGTCGGTAAGTAACTCATGTCAAGCCAACATATAGTCTCCTTATATATAACCGACATTTGCTTTGAATTACTTGAGGTGCTTTGCTTCACTTGAGGTTGACATGAATTACTTACAGACTAGGCGGCTCTGTAAGCTTAAGAAGAGTATAGGGGCTCCTGTCTTTAGATTTTAGTGGACAATACTCACATTCGCAGTAGTTCCTATACTGTTTACAGTCAGCATGATATTTCAGACGTCTCCTCGAGTCGCAAGAGGAGTTTGCGGGGAGACGACTAAAATTCAGGCTAACTGATAACAGTTAGAAACTACCGCTGCGCTACCACTGCCACTGCAACTATTCTGCGGCGAATGTGAATGTTTAATTTAATTATCCAAGTCCAAAGCGACGAGCCCCTAAGCTCTTCCTTACGGTCGCAAAGCCGTAAATTGATAACCGTTAAACCGCATGGCAAACATTTACAAGAGGTGGCTGTGTAAGGAAAGCTTGAAAACCCCCTCCTCGCGACCCATTTTAATATATTTTGAATTAAGAAGCAAGCCTTCACACTGTCATTTGAATGGACCCTTACTCGCCCAAAAAATTCATTGCTACAAAATATTGTTTTCTCATACTCGGAGATGATACCAGTTTCTTTTTCTTTCCTTCTTTCTTTATTTTCGCTTTTATGCTATGTCATGTTATGTTATTTATTTTGTTATTATAAATTTTTGCAAAAATTGTTTTCTATCTATTAAAAATATTTTAATTTTTTCATGTTCCAGGATGTTCCGGGATGTTCCGGAATGTTCCATGTTCCGGGTTGTATCGACGCCCGATTGGATTTCTATTCTGTCAATTAAAAAGAAAGAAAGGCTACTCCATCTCCTCGAACTCTCGACCAGACCCATCAGGGTAGCTAACAGTTTCAGGGGGACGGAAATGGCACGTAGAACTTGTCTACCAATTTCCCCTACAATATCCAAACAGATATTAAAAGTAGTTTCTAGACTTCTTAGGACAGCTGAAATCAAGAATGCCTCTACAGAGAAAACCATCCGAGGCAGGCTGCCCTTGTAGAGAGGACCAGAACTGATTATCCTGACAAGCGAACATCAATTTGCTAAAACAGTGGAGATTCCTTCAAGAAATAGATTCCGATTTTTTTTTATTTTGTACTATTACAAGATGCTTCTACTACATTAAAATGTATTACAAAAAAAAGATCAAAAAGCAAAAAAGAAGAACAACAAATTACATAACTGGTAAAGAGTGACCAAATTAGCTTTGGCTTTCGACTTGGTCACTGCCTTGGGCGTAGACATTCACGTAAACCTACATGTAATGGAAAATAAACAACATGGCAGTTTTAATCACAATTTTATATAAAAAAATCATAGACAGTGATAGACAAATTAATAGGAATAATTATTAATAGTGTGGCACTGCCAGAAAAATCAAATCACTTCCTTGTCTTGAATTCTCGTATGATACTGGGTAAAAATTCTTCTTTCCATAATTTTCTCAAATCATTCACACTGGGTTATCTCAAATCGTCTGATACGAGGTAAAATAATTCTTCTTTCCAAATGTTCTCAAATCATTCGCACAAAGTTGACTTTCAGTTGTCAAATCACTTAAATCACTCTAGAAACACAGGTTTAATTGTATATTTCAACTTTAAAACGAACATGCAAGCAGATCTTTCAGTACACACGCGGCCATCACTAACACGCAACCAACATTACGCATTGCAACTTAATTGTCATACTCAAATTTATTTTTTACACAGACTAACGTCCTCTAACGGCCTCTTTCGGAAACAGCCAGTTTTTCTTGTCCCGGCGGCGGATAGTCCATTCATTCTGTTCATGCACTCCATGCCGCATTCTTGTTTTTACCGGCTCTCAAAGACAGTCACTCACCTCTGGCTCCAGGGCGACCGTTGAAAAGAGGTAAGTTCTTCAGGCACTGGCTTTCAAAGCGCATTAAAACTCCTTTGAGTTACTCAAGTTTAAATGTAGCATTCCACTATGCTTTCATTGGGACATGGAATAAACATTTGGTCGGTTAGGTACCCGAGGGTATCAGGAGCTGATTACTTGAGGGTATCTAATACGATCCTCCGATCTCATGACGCTATCCTTAATTTTCGCTGAATCCCGCAATCCTGATGTTTTTTTTCGGCAAGCCGTATCCCATGTACTCCCGAATCTGCCCTCCATTTTGCTTTAATATCCTGAATCCCGACATTCCATTAAAGTAAATCCTGCATCCGGAAAAAACACGGCTAAAGGGGACCCTCTTAACCGTCCGGCTCTCTCTCGCTCTTGAGGGACAAGCTGTAGAGGGGAGGTCATCACTTTCCATTCTTGCCTTTACCCTTCTACTTCTTGTTTCTTTAATATTTATTTTTATTTTACTGTTAAAACTACAGAGGATCATTGTTGCCTCCCCAATAAGAAACTTGCTTTATTCCTTCTGCAGGGCTGCGAGCCTGTGATCGAGGAATCCATTCTGCCATCTTGCAAACCACACCTGAAAAGAAAAAGTGTCATTAACTTTACCCAGTCACCCGGAGACGTATAAATCTGTCATATATAATAAGGCCTGGGTCATAGTGTGGTAGAGTTTCAGGTTATTTACAGCAAGTCGGATAATAGTTAGAGGAGGAATCGAGCACTCCGCTCTTCAAGCGATGTGTGATGCGGAGTAGGACTAGCTCTAGCGCTCTTCCCACGCTTCCGGTGCGTTCGAAGGCGGGTGAAATTTGTTTTTTCTACAAACCGGAAATCCTGTTTTCTTTCTGTAATTTCAGCCGACAGTGTGGACCCTGTAAACTAGTTTGATAATAGTATTAACACACAGTTTTATATGTTTATGTCTGCACCCAAGAAAGTCAAACTTGTCAGTCATAAATGCCTGAAGTTGAGTTCAATGCTCCATCCTGCCATTTATCCTCCCTGATTTATCGATGTATTTTTCGCGCCAAAATATTCTGAACCAATCAGAGCAGAGCAATGGAAAGTGCGAACCTTGGAAAACGCTGTAAAAGCCAATTCAAGGAACTAACTCTGCCTTGGAGGCCCGGGGGGGGGCACTTGGGTATTTTTTGGGTGGGTATGCGCCGCCCGGGACTCCAAATTGATACCCCGTTCTAAAAAAAATTTTCCCTAAAATTGATACCCCGCTCTAAAAATGGGCCAATTTTTTATACCCCGTTCTAGAATTCGCCCTAAAACTGATACCCTGTTCTAGAAATGGGCCAATTTTTTATACTCCGTTCTAGAAAGTTTGTAAATTGAAATAGCCCTGTTTTTTTAAAAAGATATTTCTTTATATGTTCGACTTATACATCAAATAAATGCTTCTTCATAATCAGCCCAGCAACAATTTTGAGCAGAAGATAAAGCCGTGATCCACAATTTTTTATACCCCGTTCTAGAAAACGCCTCTGAAATGGATACCCCGTTCTAAATCAGGAGCTTCAAAATCACGACCCCGTTGGGCGGCACATATCCGTATAGGTAATGTTAGTATTTCACTGTGATCAATACAATGATTTGAGAAAGACTCTTTTTATTAAAATCAACGACCGAAACACATTATTTACACATTACAATATCCATGATAAAGTCTGCTTTCTTTTTAACAATACTGATTCACATATCAGCAGGCTAGCTGCTAATTTCATCTTTCAAGCATTTGAAAGACGAAAGAAACATAGTTAATTCTACTATTCCATCATACCTGTATTTCCTTAAACTTAGCTGTTTATTATTGTTATTTTAATCGGTAACACCTGTACAAAATGATAATACTGAATAAACTTGTTGTTGTTGTAATGTATGGGAGTAACCCCCCCCCGGGCTTGGAGGTCAACTGCCATGTTGGATTGCGCAACAAAGCCAAAATCGTGCAATAAGAAATCTAAAAACAGACTAAAAGGCCGTTACTAAGCAGCAACACTTATAAGTATCCGATAGACTCTCCAGACTAACTATGGTCATTTTGAGCATTCAGTGGAGACCTTTAGATTCTAAGACTGCCAACAAGCAAACAATTTAGGTTTTGCGAAACATTTGACAGGCTCTTTATCAGTGACAGAAAGCAGAAACTGAATACTACGTCAGACGGAGGAAGACAGTGATGAAAAATTGTACCTGTATGGATGTAGAGTATTCTTTTTCCTTTGAATCTTCCAGGATTATTTTTCATCTCTGTTAACATTCCTCTGATCGCCTTTATATTGTATACCGGATCTACCAATATTCCAGTTGTTCTTGAAATCTTAATGATGTTCTCTGCAATTTGATAATAAAAACACAATAAGTAAAAAAAAAAAACTGCACACCTCTTATTGCATTACACTAAACGACTCAGTCAATTGCTATTTTATTGATTACTCAGTCAGTTCTTAACATGCATTCCCCCTTCCCTGCAGTGACTTCGGTCTGAATATTACCCTTTGGTGTCATTCTCGATGATTCTGCAGTGTTTATACCAACTTCAAAGACACTTGACAGGAAGCAGTTGTATTGTAAGATGATGTCATGTGATTTGACGGAGCTAGAAGAAATGCACACTCACAGTTTCTACTAGGCTCGATTTCCGCCGTCTCCCGGGTCCGGTCTTTGATCCTTCCCGATCCTCCCCGGGAGATGAGTGTGGGCTCATTTTCCCGAACAGCGGCTGGTTATCGAGCCTAAGTTTCTACTAAATTAAATTGTGGCCAACCTCAGTATGAGAAGAGTCAGGGAAAGCAGGGGAAGGTTTGGGAGTTTGCGAGTAGAGTCTAATGTGTATAGAATCACATATTACTAAGCAAATTCAACAGTTCATGCACAACTGTATCCCGCCTTCAAACACTTCAATTACCCCAGTCCTATAAGAGTGTACCCACCTAGTTCATGTCGAGTTGACACGCCAGAACCTTCCCCATAATATCTATAATATCCTCTACTCTGACGTCAGTTCCCCCACTCCCAAGGTCTTCATTGATTTTATTGTAAAAATAAGCTGCATTGTCAGACACATTAACTGCATGGCATCTAGAAAGTTAAAGAAAAGGGAAATTTTTCCTACCTTCCAATTTTTAACAAAGTTATATACGAGGAGGCTTTGTCCAAAGGTCCAATCCAATTTACATCAAAATTATATACCATTAATTTTTTGACCGAAAAAATTTAAACTGGAGGCTTACTTGAGTTTTGAGCCAGTCAAGTAATTGCCAAGGATGGCAATTCCTGATGCTGTTCCTCCACTGCCGACAGTAACTACAATATCATCATAATCTTCCATCACATTCTGAATAAAATATGAAAAACGTACAAACAATAACTTAAAACTAGTAAGATCTAACAAATTACAACTACTTTTAAAAATAAAACTTTTTAAAATAATCTAAAAAAATATATGGACCTGGATTGATCATCCCTTTTAATATATTATTCCCTCAAAAGAACAGTGCACACTTTACTAAGTAGATACCAATGGTACTGGCCTCACTAGCACCTTCTTAATAATTTAGGTGTCTGTTAAATACTGAAAAGGTACCTGTATAATACAGTTACCTTTCACAGAAAAGATGAGAAGTAGCATTTGGCACTCACTATAAACACCCATGAATACAGTGCATGGTGTACAGTAACTCCTTCTGCTGTGAGGTGATAATTTTATTTTTTCACTTCAAAGTGCCATTTGCATTGCAATTAATCCTTAAAATGAAAAAAAATTTGCTCTTAAATTCATCTCAAGTCATTACTAAATACAACCGAAATTCTGCTATACAAAGTAACAAGGTGGACCAGAGAGGAACTTTAACATGGTTGCTACAGCCAGGGGTTTCTGGAATCTTTTCAGTCTTCTGAATTTTTCCTGAAAACTGAAAAAATTCCCTGACTAACTGAATTAACAATTTGCAAAAAGTAGTCCCGATAACTCGTAATCCACTCAACTCTCCCCTCACAGCCTGATCCCCTACAGCCACTTATCAATTTATGCTTTCAGCCAGACACATGCAGTGTACATGAATTGATACAGTGTAGCTCCTAAACAATAGCGTGCAAAAAGGACCGACGTTTTTGAAAACCCACCATCAGTTTGTTGTTCAATTTCATGACCATTATGATGATTCATGACCATAAAATTTCCACTGACTTGAAGTGAAATTCCCTGACTTTCCCCTGACCTTGAAGAAATTTTTTTCTCCTGGCCATTTCCTGCCCTGTGGTAGCCATGTTTGACATTTAAGATGCTTCCCGGAAAAAACTATTGTCAAGGGAATTCTGATCAGTGCTACAATGTACATGTACATTTGCTTATCAAATTACCTTTTTTTTTGTTTGCTTGAAAAATAAAGGGCGAAATTGAAAATGAAATTGAGATGGAAAGTCACTTAGGACTTTAGAAATCATTTTTTAAATAGCAACATGGAACATGAATTATAGGCAAAATTAAATTCAGTTTTTTTAAACCCACTTTACTCAATTTCCTTTGCCTCCTATTAAGAGCAGTTCATGAATAATTACATGTATATATACAGTTAGGAGACAAGGAAATAAATCTACCCAGGTTAAAAAATTTATTAACCTGACCAATTTTCTTTTCACCCACAAAACGCATGTCACATAACCCATTCCATACAAACAGCTCATACCTGTTCTATCATCTCTTGAAATGCAGTCAAGTAACCAAACATCCCTGTGTAAGATGAACCACCTATCTCTATCAAATATGCTGAGGATCCCTGTAGCTTTCTGGTAAAATAAATAATAACAATTAATACGGTACTGCAACTGCTACATGAGATTTTGAGTTGGCCAGCTATATTCTGAAATCAGTTACATGTAATTATACATAGGTATTATGATTCAAAGGTATGAAAAAACATTCACTGGCTCCAGCATACTTAATTAATTAAATTTAAAAAAAATACAGAAGATTTTGAGTTGGCCAGCTATATTCTGAAATCAGTTACATGTAATTATACATAGGTATTATGATTCAAAGGTATGAAAAAACATTCACTGGCTCCAGCGTACTTAATTAATTAAATTTTAAAAAAATACAGAAGCAAAAACGGAAATTAGAAATCAAATTTCTCTTGGGGAGGGGAACAAAAAGATCTTAAGTTTACAATTTGTGGGTGGCCAACAATAGTGTAGGGTTTTCTGATCTTTTGCCGGAAGTGCCATATCTCACCATACAATGTATATCACTACAGTTATGTTCCAGCTAAAAGAAGGTTTATGCAGTCTTTTTTTCATTAAGACCACTTACAATTTTTCTGCCATTTTCTCCATTATCTGTTTAAGGACTGGTTTATATTGAAGTTTTGGAACAACAATTAATAATACGGCTTCCAACCATTTTGTTTAGAAAAAGATTTCCTTTACATCCAGTATCTGTAGACTGCATCAATATGAACAGAAATCAACAAAACGTTCTACAGTGTATTAGCTCCCAAGAGGGCACTTACTTGAAAGTTTAACAGAAATTAAAATTCAATTAACTCTCTCTAAGATAAACATAGTGGGAATCAGGACCAACTAATGGGACTTGTAGGATCGAGGTGTCTGTCACATACATATATAGGGACCTTAGTTGCAGAAAATGAATGAAAACAACAAGGGAAGCCACCAACAGTGGGTGTCCTTCTTATATAGGTTTCGAAAAGTGTGCTCCAGTTGACTGTGTTAGAATATTTGTTCCTGGTGACACACATAACAAAAAATGAATTCAACCCACTCAAGGCACAACATTTGGTGCAGCAGATTGTTGTCGTGAATTGCAGTAGTTCTGAGATGGCTGCTGTATAGAGGAATGAGAAATTATCATCTTTTAAATGTGGCTATAAATGTAATTTAATTTAGCGTAAGTTAAACATGAAACAATGTTGGCCAGCAGTTTCCCCCCAAGGATCGGTATGTGGGGTGGCCGGGGCTTGCAAGCAGGGGCTCACATATTTACAGCCTGGCTTTTCCTGCTCATCCCTCTTGGCATGATAAGTATGTGGTAAGTATTTTAGTTTTCGCAGATATTCAGTGTGATGGTGCCTGGTGGTTCCCGCTTACAGGTTGTCATGGATACCCTGTGCAATCGGCTCTGCTTGTCTTGAGGCTCCACCTTCTTCAGGCACCATTCCCCATGCTCATCTATTGTTGATGGGTTTAATAGCGGAGCTCTGGCGCGCGAAGCGCGCCTGCGGAGCACCATGGGTAAGAAAATGTGGTAATCTACCCATCCGAAAAAATTTGGTAATCACGTGACCGTACGCCCGACCGTCTGTCCGCACCACAGGTTTACTAATGTGAAATAACTCAATCAACAGGTATGGAAACCCAAATTGTAGAAGATTGTAGAAGGTCTGAAACGCTTCCAAATATAACTGGTTTCAAGCTTAAGGTTAAAAATAAATATGAGACAGAGAAATATATATGTATTAAAAACAATACAATAGAAAAATTTACTAGGAAATGGGCGATAACCTCTGGCTCTGTGCTTCCATAAGTTAAGTTTAGTATTATTATAATTGTCGTTGCATTATGTTGTTACTTTTAAGATACTGTGTACTAGTTAGTAGGCACTGTGTAATTGTTAGGCTATGGTTACTGAGTAAGTGTGTAAGTAAGTTTATTTTAGTAAGTAGGCACTGTGTAATTGCTATGCTTTGGTTACTGCGTAGGTGTGTAAGTAAGTTTATTTTAGTATTATTAGTGTAATAGTAAGTATGCACTGTGTAATTGTAGTTTTATAGGAAATAAACAGAAATATTAAAAAAAAAAAAAAAAAAAAAATGGTAAAATGGTAACCCAAATGCAACTCGAGGTTATTTTGGCGGGAAATCGCATAGCCACCCAGGTCTGTAAAGCAGAGGCAACTAAAGAGTCAATAAAGACAAAACTGAAAAGCGGAAATTGTTTTTGTATCCGCGTTTTCTTAAGTATTAAGCTTAGATTAATTGTCATGTCCACAAATTTGGAATATAGAGCCAGAGAAAGACAGAGAAAAAGAGAAAAAGAGGCAGGCCGGCGAAACTCAATGAGAAAAAGGGCAACAGAGATTTAGAGCGAGAGATAAAAGACAAAGAAGACATTTTTTGTTGGAAGAACAACATGAAAATTTTGTAGCGGAGGTGACAAAATGAGAAATGCTAGCGGCCACCAATGCAAGGGGAAAATGAGCAGCAGTGAAAAAAAAAGTGAACTGGAACACGTTCGACATTTCGTCCATAAAAAAGTTTCTGGAAGTTTCACGTTGTGGTTGTGCAAAACAACGGCAAAGAAATGTACAAGAAAAGTGTGCTGCACGTGCAAAGTTGCTTTTTTGCTAATTAGACCTATTGTTGTTTTTTCTCCGTTCTCCGGCGTTGCCTTCGCTGCTTAGCATTACACGATTTTACATTTTGTTTGAACAAACTATAAATATTATCGAGAGCTTCGCTTTTAGCCCTGACTAAATCTATATATTAAAATAATTAACGTCTGATTCAATGGCAAAACAAGGGTGGTGAAATACCACTTGGGAGAGTGACAGCTGCAGGCACCTTCCAACAAGATGAATGTGTCCCAGGTTTGAATACTGTGGAAGTGAATGCATACATTGCATTGGATTTGTTATTGGTCCTAAACCCTTGCTCCAGGAATGTTTTTCTGGTTCCCATAGCAATATATATATGTGAGCTAATGTGGATATAGGCTCAAACAGCAAGGGCATCAAGTTAAGGTGACTGATGTAAAAAGGTGTTCATTTTGTACATTGCAGGAAAATATTCAATATGTAGCTGACCTGTTCAGAGCTTCTAAGAAACAAACAACAGTCCAAGCCAAGCTGTCTTAGCTACTGCAGTGGCTCTACAGTGATTTGACTGCACTCCACCACATGTAAAAATGGTGACCCACTCATTGTTCAGTGCATCAGCCAGAAGAAACCCCATCTTCCATACCTATTACATGGCACACAATAACACAATGATGACAAAACTGGCTCGCACATTTTGTAGGTCAAAATGTAATTCAGGTTAAAAAAGGTTTTATAACCTAGGTTAATTCTCAATTTGCTTATAACCATAACTATTCATGATCATAAATAATATTAAAATTGAGAATCAACCTATAAAAAACCTATAGCCTATAAAAAATGCATTGATCAATGAAATGGAGTAGTGTACCTCAGAGTGTCATAAACACATTTGAAGTACATTATCAGTCCCTATGGTTATAATTAAATACTACATGTACTTATTAATCGATTGAGGTCATTATATGTATGGAATATGTGTGAAATCTTCATTAGGAATCGGTACAATGTATATTTCAAAGAGCTACACAACGACCAAGAATACTATTAATTGACCGACAACATACCGAGCAGGGGCAACTAGTGTCAACTATTACTTTATTAACCCTTTAGGTCCACTAATGACCAACATCAATTTTTTCCTAATAATAATCAATCGAAAGAAAAGGTCGGTAAGAATTAATAAAGTGATCATATAAGGGAAAATGCTTTGATCTTTTATCAAATTCTCTCAACTTAAATTCTCTAAGAAAATAATTTGACTGTCTACCAACGGTCAACTCAAGTCTGGAAAATTTATGTGTCGAAATGGGCTTAAATTAACGGTTGAGTTTTAACATAGAATTAACTGAGTGCTTTATATTCATGTGTGCAATATATGCCTTTACCTTATTTCCCGACAATGTGCTCCCAGTTACACCATCCCTTTTGATGCTCAAAGAAACTCCCTCTGGAAGATGGAATATTCCATGGATGGATTGGAGTCTTTCACTGTGCAAGCTATAGAACAGAGAATAATAATCCTGTGCTTAAAAAATGGTTTCAGTCACAAAAAAGACAAATAAAAAAATAACAATAATTGCCAACTTTCTCAAGACAGAGGCCTTATGCACAAATATTAAAATATGGACCTCAAAGAGGCAAGGTAGGTAGTTAGGTTCTCAAGACAGACTTCATTGGGACAGCACCCATGAATCTTCAAGAGCAAATGACTTGTGAGAAGAAATTGTATGATGCATTCTTTTTGTCTTTGCAGGATCCAAAACTGACTTTTTGGTTGCCAGTTTTTACTAAAGTATCATACGGTAGTCGTAACAGAAGAAAAGGCTACTATACTGATGGAGCACCTTTTGCAAAATGACTCTAAAGTTTAATGATTATGCACTTATCAATGGTTATCCTGGAGGGGGGGTCAATCCTCCCTGGAGACATATGTGGGCATGGTCCTCTGGATTCGTTGACATTTGCTGCCAATTGTTTAGCCCAGGATGGGGGATTGCTTTTGCAGAATCCCTGAGGAAACGACCCCAAGGATTTGTTATACACCTAGCAGAATTGGCTGGGAAAGAGAATAATGAGAGAAGTATAGAGAATGTTGTCCTTTCCCATTCCTTGATTTACAAAGAAAGCTCAACTTCATCCCATGCAGTAGACCAGTGTAGGCTGAGGCCAGACTTTGAACTTTTCTTGAGACAAACCAAATTGTGATTTGTGTGGATCTTGATTGAGTTTGACAGCTGGGCCAATTGCAAAATTAACTTTAGGGGACCATCAAAGGTATCATTATATTAGGATAAGATAAATATATCTTGATGGAATGCCAATCAGACAAAAGTCCAGATTTCGGACTACAGGCAGATCATGACTCCTATCACCTTCCAAAGAAAAAGGGAATAAAGACCAACTCATCACAGGTTAGAGGCTACCTCAAAAAATGAGGCTAGCTGAGATAAGAAACATTTTGTTGTTATTGCTATTTTTTTCCTCATTTTTTTTAACTTTGCCTTACAGTTGTACCACTCTTTAAAAAAGGCATTTTAAGTGAAAAAAGAAGTAAAGAAAAATTTTACTACAATCAGGAAGTCCCTTGATGGGAGGCTTCATCTGAAGTCTCGGAACCAACGGTTACCCCCCACCCAACAGGGGACAAGACAGGGGAACCGGTTGCAAACCGCTTTGTACAAATAATCAGGGGTTCCCTGGGGGTGAGCCCTCGGGATGCCCACCCGGTTAGCTCAGTTGAAAGAGCGCCGGTCTGCTGAGCGGGAGGTCGTGAGTTCAAACCCTGGCCGGACCATCAACCAAGGTCTTTAAAAAACTGGTGAGATCATGCTAACTGTGAAACCCCTTTCTCAGTTCAGATGATCGCATCATTGGGTGGTGTTGTTAAGCCATTGGCCTTGTCTCCTTCATCCTTGTACTTCAGTTGGAAGGGGACGTAAAAGAACCCGTGACATTGTTCGGAAAGAGTAGGGACATAGGCCCCAGTGTCATGGTCTAATTG